AAATTTTTGTGAAGGTAGACACTTTCTACATCTCCATATTACATAGAATAGCTCTGAGAAAATTATAGAATACCAAGCCATACTTTTTAATTAATTGTAGTAATTAATTGATTGATCATTTGTTTTAGCCTTTTAACAAAGTCAGAGAGAAGGGATGACTCTCCTCGGCCAAGGAAGTCATTTTAATAGGACATTATTGCGGCCATGTAGAAGATAGTTTTAGATTTGAGGAGTCTCTGAATGGCCCCAGTCCAAGAAGTCCAGCAACCAGGCTTCATCAAATAAGGGATGATACTACAAAGCCCTGGGAAGAATAAAAATACCCAGCTTCAGCAGATGCAAGACTAACAGGGCACATCTTACAGTAAGGATATGGCTGCCCTCGGTGTAAGTTGGAGAAGCAGATTCTGAGGCAACTTCTGCATTTGTACTTGCTCAAATGTCATCTCCTTAGAAAACCCTATTTAAAGGAGTCTCCATCCTCATTCTCCAATGACTCTCGAACATTCCTATTATTTGTAATTACCTCAGAATAATTCTTGCAGCCTGAAATCACATTATTCATTTGTTTGCTCACATATCCCATAGTAGTCTCTCACCAGACCATGAACTCCTCAATGGCAGGAACGCGTCTAATTGTTCACCTCTGCCTCCTCATGTCCAGGGCAGTGCTAGACACAGAATGGGCATGAAATACATGCTTATTGAAATTGAACAAGATGAATGAATGAAGCTGTCACAGCCATGGCCCTCTCTGGAAATCAGATCTCTGACTGACAATCATAAGTACAAAAGTTTTGTGAAAATGTATCTTTATGGCTGGGGCTCCTCAGGAGGACAACTCTCCTTTAGTTTACTGGATGCAAATTGGTGCAGCGGAGCTTCTCAGAAATCCTCCAGGTGCTAAGCAATAAATCAAACATCTGGCATCAGCCAAGAAGCTCTGGCCTTTCATCTCAACCTCTGTACTCCCACTAATGATAAAAGATTTCATAGAAGATGGTATTAGTCTATAGGCTACAAGAAGGGTCTGAATGTCTTGTTTTATTAAATCACTAGGTTTGAATTGAGATGCTATCATTTTTTTCCTCCAAAACTTATTTTATTGACCTTTAAGTTAAAGTTACTTCTTAACCCATCATTCCTTCTATAAAATTCTGAGTATCATTCAAAGCTCAACCAGTGAAAACATTTCCAACCTCACCTTCTTACACTGAGCATCTTCTCTGAATTTTTAGTTTTTTAGATCATTTGCCCCACAAGGTGCATGACTGCCTGAAAAGCAAACCGTTTGAAGAAAGAAACTATGACATGCATTTTTTTTCTTTTTACTCCATTATGTATAGTGGATCCTGGTGGGCTAGTATTGAAATTAAATTTACATTAATCTTCCATGGAATACCATATGAAGAATAAATCTTTGTTAATTTGGACCCATTCATTTGGAGTCAATGAGAATTCAGCCATGCAACCATTTTGCCCTATCCTTGAAAAATGGGTTTGGTCGACAAATTCAGCAGTAAGAATGACTATGTATTGAGATTCTATACTGGGTCACAAACTTCCCTAGGGTGCAAAGACGAACAAGACAGCCTTTCCTCCAGAAACATGGATGAGAACAGAAAAGCTTTCTACTAGCTCTTTGTATATATGTAATCAGCATGCCAGTTATAATGAATTCTCACCATTACTTAAAGAGAACTGGGTAGAGCATAGTCTTGGCAATTCTTTATCCCATTTAACTTTCTCATTTATAGGTAGAAACATATGCCATAATTGAGATGTAATTGATTTGGACTGTTCTAATTAATACAAATTATGGGAAGTTTCTGTAATTAACACTCTTGAATGATTGTTGAAATTATTATTTACTGTTCAGTGGAAGTAGGGAAATTTTTATGTAACGTTTGCTCCCTGGCATATTATGATTATCTGTTACCTAAAACCTCAAACGCTATTAGGCCAGTTGATAATATTTGGTATGCTGCTAAATCAGAAAGAAATAACTGTAAGCTTTATATGTAGCTGTTTTCTGCCCACCATTATGAAGCCAAGGGTTGACTGCAAGATTTCCAAGTAAATAGTGCCTATTTAAGTCTGGAGATAGGCATGCCCACAATCCATGGAGATTGGAGATCTAGCCATTGTCCCAGTTATTTCAGCAACCATGGGATAGCTAATGGAATTAACTACCATGCCAGTCTTGGAAGTTATTTATAAAACCATGCAATGATCAACTGAAGTTTTTATTCTCCCCAAAACAAGCTCCATTTCCAATGAATGTGTGTGTATTGGACACCCTGACACCCCAAATCAAGCCCTGATGAAATGGGTCAGTGGGCTCCCACTGTCACTGTCTACCGAAAATGGTCCAGGATAGAGGGAGGGCAGGGGATTTCGAGTTTGGGCTCTGCTGCTTCCCAGCCACTTTGAGTTACAGGTGGGTCACAACTTTAAGAACCCTCGTCTCCCATTTGCAAAAATATTTCCTACCCTCCCTGTCTGTTCTTGGACACTATGAGGCTCAAATAAGAGAATATGGGGAAGCGTTTAAAAGTGGAACAGCCCAAGGCACTTTATTAGTCTCTTATAAGTCATTTGGTGCATGGGAACTCAAAATCACGCCTCCGGTGCTGTGGCAGTGCATTAAAAGGGGAGAGTATACATTTATGATTAAACAGCCCTAGAGGCACTCTCCCCTCACTCCCTCAGGATATAACTTCTTTCCTGATTGCCCAAGTGCTTTATGGGACAGCTGAAGCTCTGCAGGACCCTGAGGTCACGTGGCCAGCTCAACCACTTGCTACCCGAGGGCTTTAATCAAGTACTGAATCTTTTTAACACTTGTCTCCAGATCTATGAAAGGATGATCAAAATAATGTCTCACAGAATGGTGGGAGGCTGAGATGAGATGATCATGTAAAGAACGGTATAACGCAGGGCACGGAGCCAGGACAAGGATCGCTGCTAGACTCACTGGCAACTGCAGCTAATATGAGAGAGCGAACATCCCACTAGAGTCAGACCTGATTTCAAGTCCTGGTTCTTCTCTGACAGACTGTGTGATCCCGGATAATCCTCTCAACTTCTCTGGAGCTCAGCTACCAACCATACAATAAGCATGGTAATATCTACTTTGTGAGGTCTATTCAGAGTTCATGTTAAGTGATATAGATGACAGTGCTGTGCTTATTACAAAACATAATGTAAATGCATAGACCATTTTTTCCATACAAACACGCAGGAAACAATTGCAAAGATTTTATTTAGCGGCTTTCTGTGCTTGGCACTTAGAAACAGTTCCGTGCATAAGGGCACATTTTTTTATACACCTTTACTTCATACATATTTTACATACCCTTTTTATTGCCCCCATTTTTTTTTAATATTCATAATATTGGATTCCCCGCTAGGCACATAAATACATTTATCTACAACACCTCAAAACCAAAAATCTTAATAATATCTGTATTACTTTACTTGGTATTATTTGCATTTCCACACCACTTAAAAAGTTCAGCTTGCACCAAACTTCACTTGTTTTCTTAACATTAAAGGATTTGAAGGGGAAGGGAAAGATGAAGGAAAAAACCCAAAACTTCAAAATGCAATAAACTATTTGATAAAAATGGAGCTCTAAGGGCAGGTGGAAGGATGCAGAAAGGCCCATCTGCAATTCTCTGGAACGTGACTGGATTTCTCCTGCCCCGGGGGCCACAGGGCAGGCAATCCAGGTCAGGTGTCTGGATCTGGCGTGTGGAAGCCAGGCCTCGATTTGTCGCCTCTGCTCTTGGTATCATCTGTCGGGATTATAACACCCTTCCTTCTTCACACTCCTTCTTTCCCCCCCCCCCCGCCCCCCAGGCTGCGGCTGGAGAATCCGCACTTCCTGGGCAGCGCACCCCTCTTCCGGATCACGGAGGTCAGAGCAGTGGGATCCAAGTGCATTCCTTGCCCGGGTCCTCTCCAGTGCCCCGACTCTGCCCAGTGTCCCAGAGACGTTTCCTCCTCAGTAACGCCACGATTCTCTCTATAACCTGTAGGGGGGACAGGGAGAAACAAACCCAAACCAATTTCCTCGGTGCGTTATAACTCTCACCATTGCTCACACTTCCTCTCTCAGTCTCGCTCTCCGCCTCTCTCTTGCCCACTATACTCCTTCTCTTCCTTTTTCGTTCGGCTGCTCTTACTCCCTTTCCACAGGTACCGCTGGGACCGTCAGCGACAGCTCGCCGAGTGAGGAGAGCCAAAGTTCAGAAGCCATCTTTTTCAGGAAGCCAAGTCCCGTTGTAGTGGTGGTGTCTGTCCGCCCTCGTGGATAGGAGGGGGTTCCAGGCTACACGGTTCATTCCAGAAACAGCGTAAGCTGCAGGGGACAAAGGTTGGCAGCTACTGCTGGCCAAGTCCATCTAGCGTGGTACATAGACCGGTTCTTGGTGAAAGCACCCGTCTGGGCCCCCCTCCACAGAGTTCACCCAGTTCCAAGTCTGTGTGTGTGTGTGTGTGTGTGTGTGTGTGTGTGTGTGTGTGTTGGTGTATGTAAGAGTTTGTGTGTGAATATATATGTGTGCGTGCATGCAGGCAAGGGTGTGTGTGTGTGTGTGTGTGTGTGTGTGTGTGTGTAGGTAGGTAGGTAGGTCTGTATTTGTGTGGGGGTAATTTTTTATGGCTGCTACATGCTAGCATCTCCCTTAACATTATTATAAAAAGGTTATTCAGTTTCTTCAAAGGCCACTCTGGAGTAGACAACGTTTTAGAAAACTAAGGTTTGGGAAGGCAGGAGAATGGCCACTGCGTCGGAGATGATTGTATGTATCCTTCAGTGGCTTCAATGTCTTTTGTTGTTCTTAGGGATGTGCTTTCCTCCTCCAGAAAAAAAATAAAAATAAAAAACAAAACAAATACACAGTTCCCATTCTTCAAAGGCGTTGGGCTCCCGGAGAGGAGGATCTGCCCACGGAGCCTATGGGGCCCTGCGCCGGGCGGCGTTCGGAGGGCCCTTACACCATGTGCACGGACATCTGGGAGGAGGAGCCTGGCACCGCCCCGTACTGCCGGCCGTCACAGGGGTTGGTCGCCTGCTGGTTGTTGGGCGAAGGGCTGATCATGTGCATGCCGTGCTCCATCCCCGTGGGCAGGTACTGCCTCTCACCAAAGGCCCCGTTGGAAGGAGAAGAACAGAGTAAAGTGCTTTGAGAGGCGCTCAGTTTTTCCGGGCTGGCGGCTAGCCTGGGAGAAGTGGGGAAATTGTATCCATACAGATTGTAAGGGTTGTGGAGCGAGAAGGCGTTATAGGAGCTCTGCTGCATGTGGCTGCCCCCAAACATGTGTGGTGACGAGGAGCTAGAGGCGGCATTGCCAGCCTGCATGACGTACTGGAACTGGGAAGTGGGGAAGGACCCCAGCTGGCCACCGTAGGCTTCCATCTTGCTGTTGCTAGGCAACGAGGGAGGAGTCGGTATTCCTGAGATCAGGGATGGAGTCCTCTGAGGCATGAAGGTTTCCGAGGGCTGGGTGGCTGAAGCGGTGCCACTCTGGAGCCTGTTGTAGCCACTGTCACTCAGCCCCGGGTAGCTCTGCAAGGCTGCCATGTTGCTGCGGGCGCACGGTGGGTAATCGGAGAGGTTGAGATTGCACAGCTGGCTCTCTCGACAGCCCACGTTGAAAGTGTTGGGGGCCAGGTGAAATGTCGGAGGAGAACAGGATGGAGATAAAAGGTGAGACGAGGCTGAAGGGGACGGTGTCCCAGTGCTGGAGGTGGTGGGGGAAGTGCCTGTGCTGCCCCCTGAAAAATAAAAGGTAAGTACCATTGAGACAGAGGCCCGTCCAGGCCGGATGCAAGCCTTGCAGGACGTATCCTCAAATGTGCAAGACGGGCTGATTTGTACAGAACCGTAGCTTTCCCTTAACTCAGCAGACCTAAGCGATTCTATCTGTGGACACACACACACACACACACACACCAAAAAAAGGGGGGTAACACAAAAGAACACTAAACTTCTGTTTCTGTGTATAAGTGCCTTTGAAGTCTTTTAAAAAATAATAATAATAAGCCCTTCCAATATTCACTTTGCCATTTCTCACCATCAAATTCACTTTCCAGTAAGACCTCTGGTAATCAACATTAAAATCCATCCCTGAAACTGCCCCTCCCACCCACCCCCCACCCCCCGTTCTCAGTGGAAAGGCGTTAAATGTGTGTTTTCACCTGGGACTGTTGCTGACTTTGCCATATGTAGTCTTCCAGGTCAAAACACAGCATACCAAATCTCAGGACCGTACCCACAGAGGAAATGGGGTACTGGGTCAAGGTTGAGGCCTGGGAGGGCTGAGCAGAGGGGCCCAGGAGGTAGGAAGGGAGGCACTGGGCTGAAGTTCTGTCACATGAAAGATATTATGAGTACAACCGGAAGAGCTAGGTTAGCATAAAGCAAAGCTAACCTGTAACTAACTCATTATAATCCAGAGGGTCTGCTAATCTCCCTTGGTAAGAGCCTGTCCAGTCTTAGAGACTGGAAAAAAGACTGTAAATGTAGTCTGTGGATTTGGGATATTTGTGAGGTAAGAGTTCAGACAGGTCCCAAAGTCAGGAGATCTGTGTCCTCACAGCTCTGCCACACTAACCCCCAGCTCACCCTGAGCACATTCCTTATCTTCTCTGGGTTTGTTTCTATATCTAGAAGATGAGAAATTGAACTGGGTAAGTTAGGAGAATCTATAAGCTTTAAGTTTCAGGATCCCACCCCAGACCAACTAAACAATAATCAAATGATTCTAATGTACAGCCAGGGAATGAAAACCAATGACGGAACTCAAATTCCTTACTTCAAAGTACCCAGAATAGCAATTCTTAAACTTTAAGGGCCGTGAAAATCACCTGGAAGGCTTGCCGAAATAGATTGCTGATCCTCCCCACCTACCACCCTGAGTTTCTGATTCTACAGGTCTGGGGCAGGGCCTGAGAATGTGCATTTCTGAGACCGATGCTGCTTGCTAGTAGAGAGGTTAGAGGAACCCCAGGTCCCTTTCATCTCCTTGAAAGAGTTGCTCCTCTGGCATGTAGCTTTTAGAACTGGATTGGTGGCTGAGGCACCAACAGATGAAGGGCCAGTTCAACCCGACCTACTTCAACTGTGTTCTCAGAAGCCAAAAAATGGCCTTTCCAAGCCTCTCCTTTCCCAGGGCTAGGAAGCAGCAGGGTACCAGCAACTTCTTGCCTTGCCCACTGGCAGTGGTGACTGCTGGGGCTGCTGGACCTTTCATTCAAGTTCTATTGTGGGAGGGCTGCTGTGTCCTCCATAGCGACCCTCCCATGATGGAACCCCTCCCTCAGGGCAAGCTTGGGAATTTCCCAGAGTTGTTTGAGAGCCCCTGATCCCCCGCGAGCCTGGTGTGAGGAACTTGAGCTGCTATAAAAGGCTAAAGGACATTTTAAGTGGGAAGGAACAGGAATAAGGTTTTTATCAGTGAGAGAAATGTGAAGAAAGCCAGCAGAATTCCAGAGACATTGGGATCCAGAGGAACCATCCAGGTGTGCCAGGGAGGAGGGCCCAGATGTGCACACTGAGAGGCAGACACCTCAAAGAGAAACCCAAAGTTGATTTTTAGCCTCAGCTTACGCGCACAGATGCGGTAGTAGTATTGACTGGAAGTACACACTTAGTTCCTGTTAACAGTTTTGTCAGAGTTAAATTTTTACAAAATCCAACCACTATCGTCTCCTTCTTGGTCAAAAAAAAAAAAAAAAAATTACCCCAATGAACTTCCAAGGTAGAACTACACACAGTAGCTGCCTTTAGAGTCATTTCAGGAAACTCTCCTTTGTTTCTTCTTCATGCCTTAAATTCCTTTAAGAGACTTGGTGAAAAGATTTTTATCCCACAAACTGAGGTAAGGCCAACATCGTAAATACCCCTGGGAGAAGTAAGCCAGCAGCTGACCATGGTAGGAAGAAGACCCAGACTAATTCTAGGTCCGCTGGCCTCCACCCAGCCCATGACCACGGGCAATGCGCGGTGCCTCCTCATTCTCCTCATCTGTGAAAGAGCATCTCAAACTGATAGGCTTCTAACTATTCTTGTCAGAATCATATCTGTGTCTGAGGATGAAGCTTACACAAAAGTGTGAACAGCCAAAAACAAGTACTTTTTGAGGAATCCTTTTGAAATAAAGGAGTTTTGGAAGAGGACAGCAGAGAGGGGCGAGGAAGAACATCTCCCACTTCTTGTTTTTGGGCCACTGAGTGGCCGAGCCAATTGGGCCTCCTGGGGAAGTTCAGAGATTCATTTTCTGCAAGCGACATCCTACATCCATTTTCCTCCTCTTCCACTTGAACCACTGTGAGCTGCAGTGAAATGAGTGCTGTGGCACAAATGGAGAAACTTGACTCCAGCTGTAAAGAGATTTGTGTTTTATGGGATATGTATCTGGTCTCCTCTCTCTGAAAGTCCATCCCGCTCTCCCAGATCTGGTTTTATGTGGTCCCCGAAGAGACCCCCTGTTTGGCACACTTCACTGTCCTGTTGCGGGTACGCTCCGACAGGCACTGGCCCTCGCCCTGCAGCAGGAAGTGCAGGATGGAGCAGATGACTTTTTACAACTCTAAATGGTTTTCTCAGATGGCCCACGATGGAACGAATGGTACTGATTTAAGGCCTCAATTGGTTTCACTACAAAAAATAAGAGGGAACTATTAACAAGTTACAGGGATTTCTGCTGAACAGATGAGAGGTACACGTTAAAAAGTTTGTAGTCAGCTTGCTTTGGCTTTTAAATGACACTCACTGGAAATGAGACTTGGTGGCCTGCTGAGTTTCAGGGGGTGGGAGCCCCCACGTGAACTAGTGTTTGAAGCCGGGGAGCAAGCCTGTCCAAGAGAAGGTCACATTGCTTCCATTCACTTTGAAGACATGTTCCTACACACTTAGAGCACTCAATACAAATAACAGCTATTTTTCAAAGTCCACCCAGAACGAGAAGGCTGCGGTACTCATTTTGCAGAGAAGCAAACCGAGATACTGAGAAGCCTTTTCTCTCTTACGATCTAACAGCTTGTCAGCTGTTAAACAAGATCGGGAGTGCCAGCCAAGTGCTAAATAAGCAGAAGGAGGGAGGCTGGCCTCCCTGTGCATTTCAACACTTGGCCGCCTTGAGGCCTCTCATCATAGAAGAGCTAGGGCAGAGCAGGAAGCCAGGCCATGCTGATCCACAGGGGTCAGAGCTGCCTCTCAAAGAAAAGCATCCCTCCCTTTCTTGTATAGCATTCTTGCCTCACCCCTCTGTACCTGCCAGCTCCTGAATGCTTCAAGAGCCTTGATTTAAACTTTATTTAGCAGACGATCATGGACTATAGAGTTTCGGATTGGCTGGCCGTCTTACTGATTATGGGACCTTGCAAGTTAGCCTCTCTCGATATACATGGAATTTTGGGTATCTCCCTTTGTAGGGATGTTTCGAGAAACAGGAGATGCCAAGTGTACAAAGGGATTAAATACTTATTTCCTCTTCTCTTCCCTTCTATAAGTGAAGAAGGAGTGGAAGAAGGAGAAAGGAATCCTAGGACATTTGGGTTCTTTTTTTTTTTTAATATTTTTTATTTATTTCTAGGAGAGAGAGAGAGAGAGACAGCGTGAGCAGGGGAGGGTCAGAGAGAGAGGGAGATACAGACTCTGAAACAGGCTCCAGGCTCTGAGCTGGCAGTCAGCATAGAGACCGAAGCGGGGCTCGAACTCACGAACCGCGAGATCATGACCTAAGTGAAAGTCGGACGCTTAACCGACTAAGCCACCCAGGCGCCCCAGGACATTTGGGTTCTTATGGGGAGACTCTCGGGTGTCGGCTTGTGTTCATCGAGCTGAGCACCTCGGGCTCCCCACGCACTGGTGAGCCTATGTCACAGCTAGATGCCCGGATGTCACGAGCTGGGGGGAGCCTCCATGACTGCAAATGATGGAGCACTGAGCCCGTGACCATGGAGCCCACTAAGCCCATACTCCCAAAGGCTAAAGCAGCTCTGTCTCCTCTCTGAACTATCTTTCCCTCTCGCCTCACCCCTGCCCAGAATGGAAATCTGATGCCTAGCATCTCTATTCTCAGATCAAGCAAGCAGAATTGAACATAGATAGGTAGGTTGGTGCCTTTCCCACTGACCTCAGAGGTCTTAATCCATGTCTGAGAGGTGATTAAAATGTAATGCCCTAAGTAGCTGAGAACTCTGGTATTCCAGAACCAATCCCCCACCCGCCCCACCTCCCTGCATCTTGTTTCATCCAGGGACCCAAGTGAGGAGGTAGTCATTGAAATTCGTATTCAACATTAACTGGTTCCAATATTCAAGGCTCACAGCCAAAAGAACCGAGAAGAATACATGTTTAGCAGCGATTCCATACGAGGACAATAACCTAGAATATACTTCTGTACCATGAAGACAAGTAAAATGTGACCATGAAAATCCTGAAGACCAAACCTGCTGACTTTTGCATCTTTAAATTGATCACTTCCAGATTGTAATATGGAGGCTTTCACATACAGTTTCCTTTTGGGCTTGTTTTGTTGTGCTTCCCCCCTCACCCCCCAAAAAATTTGAAAAACAGTAAAAACAAGACCCCATCTAGGCTAGTAAAGAATAAATTTCCATGTAATTACTTGGTTCCACAAGCCAAACTTTTCTCTCATATAACTTGGTGGCATGTGGCCCTTGAAGAATGTAGAATCACTGTGTCCCAGAGTAGCCGCCTTTGAGGCATTCAATCAGGGAAAAGGTAAAATGCCAGCATCCTATGGACTGATCCCACGGAATAAACCCAGAAGCCATAAAGTTAAGGATCACAAGTCTGTTCCTCCCTACTAAGGAATTATCCTTAGTTGAAATGAGAGTACTTCTTAAAATGCAAATGTGAAACATTATAGTGCTAATACGAATTGTGTGGCTTCAATCTTAGAAAGACTCCTAATGCATCCTTCTCCCTAAAGTTTGAAGATATACATAGATCCAAACCTCTTCCTTTTTTAAAAATGTTTATTTATTTTTGAGATGGGGGAGGGGCATAGAGAGAGGGAGACAAAAGATCAGAAGCAGGCTCAGCGCTGATAGCAGAGAGCCCAACGTGGGGCTCAAACCCACCAACCGTGAGATAATGACCTGAGCTGAAGTTGGATGCTTAACTGACTGAGTCACCCAGGTGCCCCTAATCTAGTTTTTGTTTGTTTGTTTGTTTTTTAATGTTTTATTCACTTCTAGGAGAGAGAGAGAGAGAGAGAGAGACAGCATGAACAGAGGAGGGTCATAGAGAGAGGGAGTCACAGACTGAAACAGGCTCCAGGCTCCGAGCTGGCAGTCAGCACAGAGCCCGACGCGGGGCCCGAACCCACGAACCGCGAGATCATGACCTAAGCAAAAATCGGACGCTTAACCGACTAAGCCACCCAGGCGCCCCGCCCCTAATCTAGTTTTTAATATATTCACCCAATTCTCATTTTTCACATTGGTCCTTTGGGTTCTGAGGCTCTGTTTCCTGGAAGACCCTGTTTCACACCTACCACCTACCTTGTCTAGGTGGGCTGGCCCTGGTTTTTCACTTTCCATGAACTGGTTTGTTTTCTAAGAGCTGGACAGCTCACACATCATATTCCCCATCCCGACCACAGTGATTGGTTCAGGGATGATGCAGTTTGAGTCAATGAGACTCAGAGATTTTGCTAGAAACCATACATAAGAGGGTCACATGACCCTTTCCTTCACATTGAAACTTAAGAAGATATAGGTCTACAGCTGCTGGCAGTTAAGTTACCACCATGAGGGCCTGAGGGTGAAGTCAGGCAGGAGCCTGAAGCAGGGTGGTGGCAAGGGAGGTTAGAGGTGTGGACAGACTCCAGAGCTTGGTGATGAGGGCTGCCTACGGTGGGGAAGGAAGGAGGGAAACACCCAGGATTATAGTGGTGTCCTTCCCCCAGAAGAGGGCGCCAAGTCTGTGAAGTACATCAGTGCACTCCATTTTGGACACATTGAGCATCAGGGGCTTTGGGACTAAACAAAATATATGCCCCCACTAACTGTTTTAGTGGACTGAGTTGAGATACCCTCCAATCCCTGTCATGACCTCCTCATAGCCATCTTTCCTCATCTCCGTGATCAATAAGATCTGCATAAGTAGCCATCTCTGAATCATTAGAGTGATCCACAGTAATTCAAAGACAAGCTGTCCCTTGAACTGTCCCCCTTTCCCTGTGTTTTACTGGTTTGAATTTCTCAGCATCTGATCCCTTTCTAGGACCAACCTCTAAATGTTACCGATCAGACTGATGAAAAGCCCAGCACCAACAGGGATGCCCATATCCTTTTAACTGCCTGACAAAATTTAAAAGACCCAATGGTATTGGAATCTTTTCTAGTGATGTCTGCTACCATTTGAGGAGAAGGGAGGGTTTCATAAATGGCAGGTCTCCTTATTTCCACAGATGGAGATGGAATGCCAGCTCTGGTGTCACTGGTCCAAGATGGTTCCTTTTTGGTACAAGAGTTGTCAGCCCCTTCGAGACGGACGGTGCTCCCAAAAGTGCTTTCAGTTTGGGCCCTACAAACAGCTCTACTGTATATATCATCAGAACAAGGGGACTGCACTTGACTGTAACTGACCTGGGCTCTTATTTCTTTTTTCTTCTCTTGTCTGTGTTCCCTCAGTCAACATCCTGAAGCATCACTTACTTGGTTAGTTCATTTTGTCCCTGCCACTAGGAGTGTTCAGGCAGAAGCCACTCCTGAAATAGAATTCCTATCTCCAGACTCCCCAAACCTATAAACTCCCTTGCTGATTCTAAATGAAGACATCTGAAGGTAAGACCATACACTTCCATACACTTGACTTCATAAAAATAAAATATTGGCATATTTACAGTTAATGCTCAAGGCGTTGCCAAGAAAACATCAATTGGAAGTGTTAACTTAAAAAAAAGTGTCATGGAAAATCAAAGCTCTAGTAAGTAAGAATGAAGAAGTCAAATGTGGTCTAATGGAGAGGAAACTGCCCTCTCCAGATGGAGATGCACTTTGGAATCCTCAACTCAGTTCTGCCACCATTTACTGGCAGATATGTTAGTAGACTGCTCTGTGCCTTGGCTTCTCTTTGTGTAAAAGGCAGAGTATAATGAATCCCATGCATTCTTCTCCATAGGAGAAAACAACTATATAGAATAGCCATTCAATATATTTTTTTTAATAGAAGGATTTGGGTTTTTGCAAAACTATGGCTAATTCAACTAAGAGCTTTCCTTGAAATTTTATCAACAAATGGGTCTTAGTTAAAGAGAAATAGGGGTGCCTGGGTGGCTCAGTGGGTTAAGCATCTGACTTTGGCTCAGTTCAGGATCTCATGGTTTGTGGGTTCTGGCCCCACTTCGGGCTCTGTGCTGATAGCTAGCTCAGAACCTGGAGTCTGTTTCAGATTTTGTGCCTTCCTCTCTCTCTGTCCCTCCCCGGCTTGTGCTCTGTCTCTCTCTCAAAAATAAATAAACATTTAAAAAATTAAAAAGAAATAAAAATGATGGCAAGGATGGGATGAAAAAGGCATCCTTAACCTCATTCAGACAGAAGAGTCTAGCCTCCAGCAGCAGCAGCAGCAGCAGCAGAAAACAGTCTTCAGGCCATGTATCTGACATGCCAGACATTCATGTGTCTGAAGCAGTGAGGTTATATGGACACTAGGTAAGTCAGTCATTTCGTGGAGTTTGGTGTCAACACAGCCAATACTCTCTTCACCAAAAGGGAATACTACCAGATCAGTCTCCACTGAAGTTTCCACCAGAAGTTCATCACTCTCTACTTCTTCTAAGACACAAGACAGTGCAACACAGATGACTATGTCTCTTTTCTTCATTTTATGAGTGATACTGTCCAGAGCTACTGCAACTCTTAGTTCTTAATGGAGGAGGGAGTGAATGTTGTCTCTTTTATGTCCTTTGTTAATGTCAGGAAACCAAGCCACATATTTGTAAATAATGAGACTCTAGATCAAATTCAGTGTATAGTTTAAAAATGGATTCCAATTAAACAACTGAATAGAATTTTGGCTTTTCCTCTAGCCCTATCCCACTACCATATGTATCTAATAATTACAATTTCATCCCCCCCAACCAATAAAAAATGGACTCACTAAATAAGTGTGACATTTTGCTTTGAAAGTCTAGTTCCTCTTAAACCATTGTTTTCCAAGTGTCAACAATAAATTTATCAAATGGGTAAATTTTCAGTAGAAACACAGTGAAACTGGGGCGCCTGGGTGGCTCAGTCGGTTGAGCATCCGACTTCGGCTCAGGTCATGATCTCAGGGTTCGTGGGTTCGAGCCCCGCGTCGGGCTCTGTGCTGACAGCTAGCTCGAAGCCTGAAGCCAGTTTCGGATTCTGTGTCTCCCTCTCTTTCTGACCCTCCCCTGCTCATGCTGTCTCTCTCTCTCAGAAATAAATAAAACACAAGAAAAAAATAAAAAAAAACAGTGAAACTGGCCATGCTTCACACCTAAGCAACTCACACCAGTTCCCTGTGCCTGCACCTGCCTAATGGCCCCACGTGCTGCTAAAATACAGGTTGCCAATCCCAGCCATCACTCCACAGCTACACACATATTAAATGCTTGTGCTCCAAGTACATGTATCAGACAGTGACCCTGCCTACCTGAGCCACAGTGCCACCAAGTGACCTCACTTGGCATTGTTCATTAGGTACTTCCTGGGGGCCAGGCCCTATGACAGTTCTTGAGAACACAGCAGTGAACACAATGTCACCACCAACGCCTGCTCTCAAGAAGTGGCAATATCCCTGCCAACATCCTCACACCAGCCTTCATGGTACAAACTCTTGCTTAGCTAGAGCTTGGGAAATCAACAAGGAAAGCAAGGGCAGAGAAGCAAGGAGTCACCTCAGAAACAAACAGGATCAAGTGTCTTTGCATGAAAATGACACATGTTCCTTTATGAAGCATGCTTATGTTAATTATCTCACAAAAAATTACCCCTCTTTGGTAGGTGAGGAAAACATTCACTAGAAGTAACTTGCCTAAGGGTATAAAGAGTTAGCAGCCATCCAAGATGGAGACCCAGATTTCCCAACTATCAGAATACCTCTGCCTCATAAGGGCATGAGAGCCTCAAAGCAATAGCAACACCCTGAAGATGTATTGATCCTTCTTGTGTCACAGGATTATGAGAAGCAGGCTGCTTCATGCAGAGGACTTCCATTTCTCCTCCAGTTATAAAGGAGAGAGAGGGAGAGATGAGAATTCTGTATTACTTGCCTCACCAGATCCCTATGAAGGTCAATCATGTTTTAAATAATTACTAATCAGAAGTCAGTATCTCTTGTCCCTGATGCACCTGCCTCTCAGGTACCCATGTACAGGGACAGAGAGGGGTAGTGATGATGACCACCACCACCACCACAAGAGCTAGCATGTCGTGAGTGCTCCCTTTTTCCATTGTCTCATTTAATCCTCACAAAAATTCTCTTCTATTCTTCCATTTTGCACATGAGAAAACTATGTATCAGAAAGGATTGGGGACTTGGCTATGGTCACAAAGCCAGGAAGAACCTAACCCAAGTCATCTGACCCCAGACCCTATGCTTTCAATCACTTTATCTTACAACCTGAGAGAGCTCAATAATTTAGGTTACAGAACCTAACTTAGTGTGCAAGCCACCGGAAGCTCCCCTGGGAGGGAATGTGATCTAATGTAGTATCAAGTCCTAGAAACGTCTCCCACCTGGCAGAGCCACAATTTCAAAACTTAGAATTCTATTAATGGGCAGCCATGTGGCAGAACCTAATACGCTTTGTAATTTTGATGGGTGCCACTCTGGGGCAGGAGGAGGTTGGAGAGGGAGACTCATAAAGCGTCTGACACTGTGGGAGGCTTCCCCAGGTGAACGGGGGCTGCGCTGGGAAGAGCCACTGGTGGGACTGAGGAAAGGAGTTGAGGTCAGTCCACGAGCCCTCTGTGCACAGGCCACGGGCTTCCCGACCGGCGCTGCCAGAGAAGGGAGAAGCTGGAAGAAAAGCACAGACCGTGCAAAGAAGAAGTCCACCCAGCCCATGAACCTGAGACAGGCAATGTTCCATGTAAGCGAACACAAATCGCAAGCTTCTGAGGGGCTTGCAGCAGCTCCCTCATAGTCAGACCTGAGCAATTCCTTGCCGTTGTTAGGGCCGAGTTTTTTCTCATCTACAAAACTAGAATAAGAAAGCTGATAATGCTGCCATGAGGAATAAATGAAATTCTTATGAAGATCTCTTAGAATACCGAGGGTTGTGTGAATGCTCAGGGATAGAAATAATTTCACTACCATCGTAATCATGAACATAACCCTGCTTTTAGGAATGGGACAGCGAGCTGCCTCTGGAACGGGCTTGTCTGCACAAGTGGTTACGTTCCGGTTATTTACAGAGCCACCAAGTACTCTTCGTTCTAGAAGAACGGGTGTAACTCATGGCTTGGCATGGGGCCAGATGTTCTATATTCAGTTCTCCCACTCTCTCCTTGGCACCATCGCTAAGCAGAGGCCATGCCCTGGGACTTTACCTTGCTGCTTTTGCATGGTGGTGAAATCCTCAAAGGTGAGTGTACGCACAGGGGGTCTCCAGAACGCGTAAGTCTCCATGATGGCTTCCAGTCCAGTTCTGCAGAGAGAAGAACCAACAAAGGTAGTTGTAAATAATGCCAAGAAATGCACCGGCTTTTTAAAAATCTGAGGTGGTTTGTCTGACAAGTGGTATAGACATAGGCACTAAGAGATATCACCAATGGGGCAGTGGTGGGGAGAGGGGAGGAGGGAATCAGTCTGGAAGAGCACAAGGTACAGATGACACTGAAATGTGAAAAGAAAAAGAAATTAGCCCAATTCAGATTATTTGCAAGTGTGTCATAACTATGATTGATTTCTGCTCTAAGCTTTCTTCAAAGGAGGTGTGGTCTGCTTGAAAAAAACTTAAATGTTAGATGTCAAGGTCACTAAAATCATGAATGTAGTTGAACGGGAAGTAGCACTGACTGTTTCTCTAGCACAAGACGATGTCATTATCATTACCACAGTGAACTGACACAGACTGCCCCAAGTCCATCAGTGAGTATGTGGAGTCAATGAAATTGTCAAATCGCTGTGGCTATAAAGTCTCCTTAAATCAACAGAGGCAAGCAGGGCATATACACTTGAGTTTCTGTTGCATCAAAAAACACCCACCTGAAGGCAAAAAAAGTGGCTGGTCCCAGAAATTATACCTCAAGCAAAAAAGCCAAGACATTTCTGTAAATATTTATCTGTATTTTATAATCTAATAATCAATCTGGTCATTGAGGGTCATTTACTTGAGACAGTCAGACCTCAGGAAGCATCCGGTATTTGTAAAATACATTAGGCTTCTGTTTCATTGATACTGGAGGTTCCGTTAATTGAAATATGCACGTAGTGCCTACTTTACCCTTCAGTAAATTCTCTCTCTGCCATATTTATGAGGTGCTGATGGGCGTCATTTCAACATAACCAAGTTATCTCAAAACATATTCTTGCTAATTCCATGTCCTCGGAACAGAGTACTGGTTGGGGCTTTGTTTAAAGCTTTGAACACAGCTTCTGATTATTGACTTTTCTTTAAAACTAATTGCTTCACTTCTAAGTGGAGGGAAAGGAAGTTCAGAGGCTACAAGGCAGGCAGGACAAGAAGGGTAGAGAAAGGGAGGTGACAGTCCTTTCATTTCAAAGTTACTAGAAGTAACATGGCATCCCTTCCTGGAAAAGACAAGCTTTCGCTCTTAAGATGAAAACACACTGCCTGTCCCACTCCCTAAGCAGTACATTTCCAGAGTTCTCTTCAGCCCTGCAGACCAAGAATAAAGTGAGAAGTTTTATTTTAAGAGAACAAATATTCTTTCCTTATAAATGACTATAAGATCCCCTGAGGTTCTTCTCAGATGAGCTGCTGATACACTGATGGGCTCTTTGTGTTGGAAAATTTCCCCTCTGAACAGGCCTTCCTTGCACAGCTAACTTTCTAAAGTCTTCCCTGGAATCTTGGAGGCTTTAAATACACCGATGTTGGCAAATCAAACTCTGTATTTTTAGAAGAGGTTGAGAAGAGAGGGTGTTGCATGGTGTTTATTAGCTGTTAATCTGTTAAAAGTAGGAATAGAAGACATGTCCACATAGTCACCTACATCAATGCTGAATACAGTACATGAAGCTATTTGTGGAGAGAAAGAGAGCAGGCTATTAGGGAGTTCACAATAATAAGGGGATAGGCAGATGAAGGCATACCGAGCTTTGATGATTATAAGAAAGAGATAGGCCGGGCCTAGATCTCACTGCCTTGCTCTGGAATGCTGGCCACGCACCAGAACATTTTAGGATTCCCTCTAATGGCATGGCAGGCTCACTGCAAATGGCAAGGCCTTTGTTTTCCACCTCCGAGTCCATTCTTCCCAGGAACATGTACTAACAAGGGGCAAAATATTAGCTCAAGGACAAAGAACAGTACCTTCTCATTTCCTAATAAAGTGACAAACGACTGAAGTAACAGTAACACACTGATATACTGCCAATATTGTATTTATTAAAGAAATACAAAAAAACTTTTATTTCATTTTCACAACAGGCAAAAAGACTGGCAAAGGTATCCATGATTTTATTTAAGCAGTCAACTCTATACAAGATAGTGGCCATTTGCCCATCTGTCCAAATCTAAAATCCACCTGAAAGACTGAGTCATGGAGTCAATAGGTTTAAAAATTGGGGAAGTTGAGGCACCTGGGTGGCTCAGTTGGTTAAGCATCTGACTTCGGCTCAGGTCATGATCTTGCGGTTTGTGAGTTCGAGCCCTGTGTCGGGCTCTGTGCTGACTGCTCAGAGCCTGGAGCCTTCTTTGGATTCCATGTCTCACTCTCTGTCTCTGTCCCTTCCCTGCTCATGCTCTGTCTCTCTTTCTCTCTCAGAAATAAACATTAAAATTTTTTTTAATAAAAAAATTGGGAAAGTTCCTGGGTATCACCTACTTCTACTTTCTGTGATGCCATCTTGGATGGCTATTCAGCCTTAGTTGGAGTATTTCCTAAGGAAATATTCAGTTTTCTAACAGATGTTAGAAAGTTCTTTCTGACCCTGGGCTGAAATCTCTGATATGACTTTTACCCTCTGGTTCCATTACCAATGAGTAAATGGTGACCGTGCCAATTTCCACATCCCCATCAGGAAGACTTTCCTTAGCTGTTAAGAATGTAATGTACAAGATGCCACATGTGGACACAGCCATGGTCCATCCAGTCCAGGAGTCGGTCACAAGATTTATTTTGATGGTGGGGGGGAGGTATGACTACTGAAAAACAGTGACTAAGATCACACATCCTTCCCCACTTTGCTGTGGATCCATCCCTCATAGAATTGTCCTATATACTTCCTGAAATATTTATAATTTCAAAGCATATCTCCTTTTAGAAAAATTAATTCTATTTGTTTACTATATGCCACATCTTATTTGTCCTCGAACTCCATTAAGCTTCACTGGATAGATCTAATTGTTAGAAAGTACTAGTTCTATGTATCAGGCTCGGGTGGTGATGGGCCATGACAAGATACATTCCAGGTAACCCAACCCTCTCCACCACTAGCACGTCTACTTTGGATCCCATGTTTCTCTGTATCCCAGTGCTTCAGATGATGCCTATTGCCTGTAAGATCTCAATCTACACATGCTGAATTCATAAATAAAGGAGTAAATTTTCACCCTATGTTTTATTACTGAGCCTTTGTTTCATGAACTTTAGCTAGCCTAAAACTTAGAAAAATAACCTGATGGAAAATCAGGACTCCAAAGACAAAAGGATTCCTTTTAGTATTAGAGACGTGGGACTTGTTTCCATAGCTGTTTGTGCCGTTCTTGACTCAGGTCCCAGAGGGGTTTCACTTTTCCTTTGGTTTCTTCTGTTCCAGTCACGGAATTTCTGACCTGCAACAGTCTGAGTCCTCTATCCAGGGGCCAGCCATTTCTACCCTCATCTTCTTTTACAAGAGTCTTTGCCAACTACCCATTAACATCTTCAGCCACTTGGACGTTGATTCAAAGTTTATCATGCATAAAACATTGTTTACTTATTCATCACCATTATATGCTGGTTTTGTAAAATTTTATCTTAAGGTTCTTAAAAGTGAATTCATTGTCTCACAGATTTAAAGAAAAAAAAAAAAAAGCAGTCTTAGGTAACCTCACGTCATTAACATGTTCCACATGGCAGGCCTCTCTGGGTCTGCTGCTCACCAGAGACCTGATGTCATGTCTGAGGTTTCCAATCAGAGACAATCATATTGGCAAGTGCCCCCCTCTTGCTTACTTTTCCTCATTTGCTCCAGTGACACGAGAGGCCATATCTAACCCCCTTTGTTCAGTGCTTTGGCTGGAATCATTTCTCTGATTTCCAGGCCTCTTCTCTTTAGACTTTTCAGTCTGCTCACTGCCCAAACCAACAGAATGTGCTCAAGAAGAGGGAGAAAAGGAAGGAGAGGAAGCAAGCCGAAGATCTCTTTTGCAAATAGATGATGCCTCAAGATCAACTGATGTGAAAAAAAAAAAAAAATAGACTGCAAAGAATTATTCTTCCAAACTTCTCATTAAAAAAACAAACTGAGGACTGATGGGGGGGTGGGGTCGGGAGGGAGGTGATGGGCATGGAGGAGGTCACTTGTGGGGATGAGCACTGGGTGTTATATGAAAACCAACTTGACAATAAACTATTAAAAAATAAATAAACAAATAAATATTTATATAGAAAAAATAAAAATAGAATGTGGGATTGCCCTTCTTTGAAGTTCATCAAATATTTGATAGTTATAACAACAATTATAACCACTTTCATGGACCTATTAGGTAGCACATTGATGCAGACTTTCTGTTTTCTTATTTGTGTTGAGAAAGAGGGTTGCTTTTTATGATTCTTCTATTTATTTTCTCTGTAGTTCTGACTTGGAACTCTTCCCAAACTATTTGATGGTGATTCTGGTAACAAAGGGAACATATCCTAGGGATTGATAAGGCCATCGGCCATCTGTCAATAACAGGCAGACAAGAATTACAGAGATGGGGTTTTGAAGTCATAAAGAAGTTTTCCAAACAGTAAATATGCCAGGTTCAGGAGATTCAAAGACAAAAAAGAGCACAAGGTCTTTACCATAATTTAGGAGTGTCCTGTTTAACAGAAAGAGAAGAGAGTGTAGGGCGCCTGGGTGGTTCAGTGGGTTAAGCTTCTGACTCTTGATTTTGGCTCAAGTCATGATCTCATGGTTCTGGGCTCCAGCCTGACACTGACAGCATGGAGCCTGCTTGGGATTCTCTCTCTTCCACTTGCTCTCTGCCCCTCCCCCAGTCATGTGTGCTATCTCAAAATAAATAAGTAAACTTAGAAGAAAGAGAGAACATTATGTAAATGACTAATTCTGACCTGTGTGATCAGTGCTACACCGAAAATATGTAGGAGATGCCAGGGAGAACCAAGCAAGAAATACTTCTTATACCTGGAAAACTCCAAGAGCACACCACAAAAGGCAGCTACTTCAGCTTCATATTAAAGGTTACTCGGCAATTTTCCAAACAGACAAGAGTCAGAAAGAACTTTCCTAGGAGAGTGAACAGTATATGCA